GTCAGACATGCTGGCAACACCCCAACTAGTGATGTAACAGCAGGTGTTTTCCCTTCCATCATCAGCTCCTGACTACTCTCACTGTGTGACTTCACTAACTAGCACGTGGCCATATGTGCAGCTTGCTCAACAGGTTATCTCGTATCATACAGCTCTCATTTTCGCTGAAACAACCTGCAGCTCTTTGAGCTTAGGACCCATGTCAATTGAGACAGTGAGAATTTTTAGAGGTGAGACAAGCTGGACAATCACAAAAACAATACAGAGAATAAAAATATGACATTTTTTAAGTACCTTTCCACTGCAGCAATGCTGGGTAGGTCTGACGTGCCCTATAATAAATATTATAATAGAAATAAGAAGAATATTTATGTTAAATATCCTTTTTAAAGCCAGCCTTACAAAAACCCTTACAAAAACATTCAGTGTAAACAATATTTCAGACTCGAAGGATAAATTACAATTAAAATATCAATATAAAATTTAAAAACCAGCCACTACAAGTCTTGAGTTCAACAACAACAATATAATTAAGTGTGACTCAACAGTTAAGATTAAAAATATATAATAAGTAATCTAAAAATGTAAAAATTGGGAAATTGATTTTCTTTTTAAATGACATAAATCCTTAACAGTGATTCAAATGTAACAATTCTGCAACTATTTTGACAAATGAAAAAAAATTATACCAACTGCTGGAACTGAGACATTATTGTTCATTCTTGTTGTTTACATTGTTGATCATTTTGCTTTCAGCATAGGTTTAACCAATCAGCGTCAAGCCCCACACAGCAGCTTTTCAGGGCCGATCAGATATACCTACTGCGAAACAAGTACTGTGTTCTGATATGTCCCTGAAGAACGGGCAGTTCCTGCAGTTTGACACACTACCTTAAAGCTCGCTGCAAGTTCCTACAGTAGAAAACATTTACATTTTAACTGACATTTGAATTATGAACTCGCAGCCCTTTGCTGTACGTCTTCCCCCACTTTCATATTGTCATTGCTTCAATATCCAAAAAAATTATCTTAGAAAAGAACAAAAGCATAAATAAATACTGTGCTGTAATTAATATACAATATGCAGACTAATTTGAGCGTTGTGAAAACCTCATGTGGGAATAATTTTCTAATCAGCTACAGAGAGATCTTTTTGTAACCGCCTCGTAGTATAATCACATATTTTAGTGCCTGTGTGTGATACCATAATCAACCAAGAAATAATAGCAGTAATGACCTAACCTACTATTAGCATGCCTATCTTTTCCTCCGTTTTTGCAACTTAACCTTTACTATGTTTTACTATTAAAGGAAAAACTGGATCTTACGCTGGATCATTCAACGAGCCCATATAAACACAACTTAGAAAGACTTTGTGTTGTATTACACTGACCTTTTTACATGACTTTCTTTTGTATTTTATTTAGATTGTTCCTTACTGAGTGCTTTTTTTTTTAAATTTTGCTTATTGAGCTTCTTATTGCATTATATGCAACAATGTATGGTAAGAAAAGTCTAACCATGTTCAGCTCTCCAACACGGCGAATCATGAAGCTGTTTCAGTGTGGCTGGAACACGTTCGTTTTCTTTTCGATTCTGATCTTCACTGGTTTGTTGGTTTGTTTGTTTAAATATGAAAACTACCCAGCATCTCAGCTCAAAGTGCATCACACCCTTCTTGCTCTCAGCAGAGAACTTCAATCTTCAGTTCACTTCACTGTTGCAAACTTAGCAACTTTGCAAAAAAAATCTATGGCGCTCTTGCTTTAGCTGGGAAAGAGCCACACCTCCTCCTGTAAAGTCCAGTGGCTGTATAGGTACACTGCTTGTAACTTTCTGAGTAATCGTAGCAGAGCTGATATTTTTAACTTTCTTTATGATATTCTCAGACGCCCCCTTCTTGCTCAACTGCTCACTCTTGGTCACCTCAGCTCAAAAAAAATAAATAAAAAAAATGCTATGCGGGGTAGCCCTAGTTCTGAGTTTAGTTTTACAAATCAATGTTGAGTCTAGCTATTTTAAAAACACAGCACACGTGCCTGTTATAGTGCAGCAAACACTCAGCTGTATGACACTCAAGTGTATTTTTGAAGCTTCAGTTGTGCGGTAAAAGGCCTTTTCAGCTCTGAGTCATCTTTTTAAGGTGCAGCTTGCTTTCCTCTCCACGAGAGCACCCTCTCTTTGCTTCTCTTTCCCTCTTACTAGTTTTGATCTTGATCCGTTTTATATTGTTGGTCCGAGTTACAAAAAACCCAAACAAAACAAAACACAGACTAGAGTCTTAAAGCAAAGAACTTCACCCCTGAGTCACCTCTCTTTAAACAGGCAGTCAGGTCACGCAGGAGACAAACACAGATTGCTGGTGTGTGTGTGTGTGAGTGTGGATGTTTGTGATAACATATGCACAGTAAGCGCCTATAAGGCTGACTCGTGTGCACAGAGGGCAGACTGTTTCCCGCCCCTGTGCTGGAAAAGCAAATCACATAGAGAGTCCTCCTAAAATACACTGTGCCATTCAAAGCAGAAACGAACTCTTGTCAGCAGCCATGCAAGCACATACGACCAAACACTCACCTGCATTTAAAGCCATTTCACCGCTTTAACAGATTTTTATGGAAACAGGCAGCTCAGTCGATGCATGGCTATAAGCCATATCCTGCTGGCAGAGGAAGCAAACTCAGCAGCATCTATTGGTAGCTGGTTGTAATCGAACACCTAAGTGCTATTTAAGCAGAATCCATGCATCTTAATGTGTATTTTTTTTCTATCCCAGCAGAACCCTTAATTAATAATCTGCCAGTCAATTTCTCTGTTAATCACTTTATTGTTTAAAAAAACAAAATTAGAAAAGGAAAGGTGACATCTTTAATCCCTGTCCAGATATAAAGTGATTCGCTTTTTGCATATGACTTTTAGCCCACTGGTTGTCATTGAGAACATTCCAGGCTTTATAGGTAGCCCTCTAAAGCCGCAGACACACTCTAGAGATTGTTCAGGAAATCTCTAGCAACCTGAAATCCTCATGACCTCTAGGAAAGTGCTAAATGACAGAAATTCAAAGTGGTTTCCTGAGTTTCTCACTTAAAAGATGGGAAAAAATTAGAGTTTAAAGTTTAGATCCATCCCTTCTGAATCAATGATGGTTATTTCAAGCTGCTAAAATTCATTTACATTCCTGGTTTCTGGTCGCCATATCGCCGCTCATCTTTTCCTGTGTGGACATCCTTTAACACTCTTTCCCTTTTGCAAAAGCCTGATCATGTTAATTCACAATCTCAAGAAAATGCAGTAAATTGTGACAATTCTGAAGGATGTCTGCAAAGACCTATTTTGCTTTTCCTTATTTTCTTCTATGTATTGATACTTTTGAATGGTGGTGCTCTTCCTAAAAGTTGTTTCTATGAGCCCAAAGCTCAGGTTTCAGACAGTTTTTTTCTATTCTTTGCTCTGTCGGATGTCAGTAAGCGAATTCAGGCACATAGCTCTAAGCTAAAAGCACAGAAGCTCCACCCACCTGCCATTCAAACCTTCTGTTTGTGAGGGGCAGCCAATTAGAAGAAAGATGGCTTAAAGGAAAAAAATGAAGGGAGCTAAAACAGTTAATTCTGATACTGGATGAACTGAAGGGCTGAACAAAGGCTCACTACAAGATCAATGGGGATTATTTTAAATCATGCAAAGCTACTCTAATACAATCCAAGTCTACGATAAGGAACAATAGGTGCACAAAATTCAAACATGATCAAGTCTAACCAGCAAAAGTTGACATTAAATAGGATCTAATCAATGCAGAGAAGTGTCATTCTTTCCGGATGATTTCCCATCAGTGCTTTAGCTCTACATGCAGCAATTAACACATACCTTTTTAACTGATTCTAGAAAAACAGCCCTGAGGATACTTCAGTGTCCTTTTGGTGACCAAAGGTTTAAAACTGTCTCCTCCTTGGAGCTTTGCTTAGGTAACAGAGACTGAAAAAGGTCCAGAGATTCACTTAAAAGAAGAGTTTAGTCCAGGTTTGAAATCATTGCACCGTCTTTGTACCACAAACGTTATTCACACTAAAGACACCAGCTGTCAAAGTAGGGGGATGGGTGACTCATCTCCCCTCCCTCTCCCTCACACAAGCACACACACCACTTTCTTGCATCTCTGCCTCACATTTACAACCACCAACACGCAAAAGCAAAACAACAGCATGACCTTGAGAGTTAAAAGTGCAACACAGGCCTCTTTCTAGCAGCAGTATCATGGTGTCTTCAGGGACTATTTGGGTCTGCACAGCCACACCGAGGCTTCAGGGCCTTTGAGCATCCTGGATGCTGAGGGGAAGGATGCTAAAGTGTCCGGATGCGGCGGTCTTTATGTGCATGAGCCAAGCGTACATAAAGAAAGGGCTCATACAACTGAGCCAAGAAGCTAAATCCAAAGTAATCTCTGACATTAAAATATGTCGATGCAAAGGTTTGAGCTAAAGCTTAAATAACAGGGTTTAAAGCCGAAAAAGCAGAGCCTCCATGTTGGCTGGCACCGCCTTTGCATCATCCTAGCCCCCTGGCTTCCAGAGAGTAAAATTAAAATATGAACGTAAAAAATAATATATGTGTTTTTCTCTTTGGAGATCCAATGGCAAAGTAAATCTTTTGGAAGATGTTTCTGCACGCAAAGGAGGACTATGAAGGGAGGAGGAAGAGGCGAGGAAACGACTCTGTGCTGCATCTGTCAGCTGCACCCATTTCAGCTGTTCATCCAAGGTTACATGTAAACACCTAAACACGAGATTTAAGCGGTTTCAACCCCGTTTTCATTCATTTGCAGCCGCGGACACAGAGCCTGCACATTCCCCGAGGTGCAAAAATCAAACTTTCAGCGTTTTGTTCGTCGGGCGAACAAAACGCTATAAAGCTATTTTTCCTAGAGGGTGAAGCCACGATTCGGACATTTATTTAGCGGACCGGCTACAAAAAGCAGGCACCTACACAAAGCTACACACTCGCGTTACCTTTGTGTACAGCTCCTCCGACGCTGCCATGACGGTCACTCGCTATGTCCTTCCTCCAATCTGGGCTGAAAGTCCGGCAGGTCTCCGCGCTGCTCGGGGCTCAGCGTGTGTTTTCATGTAGCGGGAAAGCAAAGCGTTTGTTGCCACGGAGACTCAGGGGGAAGACGTGCCTCTTATCGCCATGATAACCCAACAGGCTCCAGGCTGCCGAGGTTTCGCTGTCTCTCACTTTGCATTCTGGGTATGATGATGGATAAAATGATTCAGCCAAACGGAGGAAAACTGCTGCCGCGTGGGAAACGGCGCCCCCTAATGGTCAAGGCTTTATACTACACATAAAGGAACGCAGGAAAGAAAAGGAAAGGAAACACGGGCTCAGAAATATTTAAACATAGTAAACAATCGATAATTTGTACAATGCAGAACTCCAGTTTCTTTTTTAAAATAATGTTTTTTATTGCATCTCGTGGTGTATGACGTTTTGAGCACACCAGCTCTTCATCAGACAATGAAACACAGGACAGCGCCACGTTAAATCACCTGTGATAGTTCACAAGACCAATGGCAATAATATCCAGTCAGAATCACGACTTATATAGGACAGATAACTGATAAATAATCTACATGTAGTGTATACTACCCTAACGTGAGTCAGAAAAATCAGTGCCTAAGAAGACAAGTAAGGAAACAGTAAGTGATCTCTCCACACACCCAGCAGCCAACATCAGGGATATATATAATATAATGGCATTGATGCAGTTGGTTAGGCAGATATGAAACCTACTCATGTTCAGTGCATTTATTGCATCCAGCAATGCAGGCACCTCTTTGAGTTTTCATACACTTGGTGACAATGCCTCCTTAATGGTATATATTTGTGTTTCATTTTCATAATTGTATATACATATAGCAAAAACCTTAGGTGACATATTCTGGTTAACTGAGTGAGTCATATATTATTTGTGAATTGTCGATGTAAAAACCCACCTAGGGAAAAGGACTGGAAATTAAAAATATTTGTATCTTTACAGCACGTCACTGTCAAGGTCTGTATTGTGTCATTGTTAAATTGCATTGTCCCTATTAAAATAATTTTGATCATAATGATGATTAAAAAAACATTCTCTGTCAGTAAAATACATTTTCTGCAGTGACTGTGATGTATAATGCTAACCACACAAGGTGGCTGTTGTGTCACTCACTCTGTTGATGTGATAAAACCCGCTGTGCACACCCTGTAAGGGTGGGGTGAATACTAAGTTTGATGTACAGTTGTGCTCATAAGTTTACATACCCTGGAAGAATTTGTGATTTTTGGCCATTTTTCAAAGAATAGGAATTATATTACAAAAACTTTTCTTTCACTCGTGGCCAGTGGTTGTGTTTGCCCTTTTTAAATCAAAATAACGACACAAACTACCCAAATGACACTGACCAAAAGTTTACATACCCTCGAAGTTTTGGCATGATAACACACACACACAAGTTGACACAAAGAGGTTTAAATGACTACTAAAGGTAACCCTCCTCACCTGTGATCTGTTTACTTGTAGTGTGTGTGTGCGTGCGTGTGTGTATAAAAAATCAGAGAACAAAATGGTTGCAAAGTGCTTAGAAGTAATGCAAAGAAAAGACTTGGTCTGAGTCTGCGTGTGAAGAAGCTATTTGTAAGTCTGGAGGTGTGGGACCTGATTGACCAGAGGCCAGTGGGCCAAACAGGTGGTGAGAGGGGTACAAGGGGTCACCTGTGATGGCCCTGGTTTTTCTGAGATAAGAGTATGTGGTGATGGTCTCAGAGGGGTACCCGCTGCACAGCCTTCCTGTTCTTAGTAGTGGCCCCTGTACCAAACACCCAGCCAATCGGAGAGCCCGCTGTCCACTGAGGAGCGCTAGAAGGTCAGCAGCAGGTCCAGTTTATCCGGTCCAGTTTATTCTTCCTTAGGGCATCGAGGAAGTGCAGCCACTGCTAGGTTGGGTTGGTGTGCAGTTATAGGTGTACAGGGTGTACAGTAGGGGGCTGGGAATGCAGCTCTGCGGGGATCCGGTGCTGGAACTAGGGTATGTAAACTTTTGGTAGGGTATGTAAACTTTATGTAAATTTCTGATCAGTGTCATTCTGATTTGAAAAGGGCAAACACAACGACTGACCACGAGTAAAAGAAACGTTTTTGTATTGTCATTCATATTCTCTGAAAAATGGCCAAAAATCACAAATTCTGCCAGGGCACAACTGGAATGACAACAAATATGAAAAGTGGGGCTGAAACTTAACAACAGATGAGTTTAGACATCTGTTAGATCAGAATCTAATATTTAAAATTCACATTGAAAACTGTGTTAATATTAATAATATACTAATATTAATACTTATGCATGCATGTGTGTGCTTCCTTCCTCCTTATCATCATCATAAATGCATGAAAACCACAAATGCTCTCTTGGCTGTTATAATATTTTACACATTTGTCCCCAGAGTTGGCACAAACTGAAGGCTCAAGAAACTGGCTTGAGATGATTTGATCTTTGCGACAATGTGTGTTATCCTGCTGTACACTGTGTGTATCCACTGACATGGTCAGCAACAATACTCAGGTAGGCTGTGTTGTTTAAAACCACCCATGAGTGGCACCTGGTGTACTTTTTTTGCTGCTGTAGCTAATCTGCTTCAAAGATTCGACATGTTGTGTCCAGAGATGCTCTTCTGCGTACCTTGGTTGTAATGAGTGATTATTTTAGCTTCTGTTACTTTCCTATTAGTTCCAAGCAGTCTGGCCATTCTCCTCTGATCACTGGCATCAACAAGCCACTTTCACCCAGAGAACTGCTGCTCACTGAATATTTTCTTTATTTTTTTCAGACAATTCTCGGTTAACTCTAGAGATGGTTGTATGGAAAAATCTCAGTACATCCGCATTTTCTGAAATAGTCAGATGAGACCATCTAACTGTCATAAGTCCATTAAATCACCTTTTTTCCCTCATTCTGATGTTTGAAATCCAGCAGGCTGTCTTTACCATGTCTTAATACCCAAATGCAATGAGTTTCTGCCATGTGATTGATTAAATATTTGCCTTACCGAAGAGTTGAACCAGTGTATAATTCATATTCATCTTCACATGACATTGTATTGTAATTAGTTTTAAGTATTTAGCTCCTTTTCGTTCTACCAAGCTGTTCTTGTATTCTTCACCCCATTGATGTATTCATTCTGTTGTATTTTAATGACAGCCCAGGCTCCATTTTGTTTGGAGTTTTTGGCCCTGGTTAGGTCTCCCAAGGCAAATTAGTCCTGAGTGAGGAAATGGAAAAGAGAACAAGGGACCAGCTTACCTTGACTGGGATAGGGCTACCTAGGCCTCACCCTGGAGTCAGGAATGGGAGGGAGCTTAAGGGAGAGCACTTAGGCCTTAACCCATGTAGGCCACCTGGAATTGCCCTTAATGAGAGGCGGTGGGCAAGGGTGGGTATCCTTGTATCCCTATTGCTTGCTGTATGCACCCTGGGGGTTTTCGCCCATGGATGAGGGGGTTGCTTACCTGTGCCAGTGACTGGGTTTGTGCCTATGGACCGAATGATATTTTAGAGAACACAGCCTTCTGGGAGTGACGGGGTGTGGCTCTTGAGTGTCCTCCATTTAGTGACTTTGTCATCCTACTGGTGGACTTTAATGCTTACAGGGGAAACGACACTGAGACCTGGTGGGGCGTGACTGGGAGGAACGGTCTGCCTAATGTTCTGTTCGAACACCATGTTCGAACAGAAGGGTGCCCCTAAGTGCACATGACACCAGGACACCCTGGTTGCATGTCGAGGGTGGATTTTGTAACAGTATCATCAGATCTGCAAGTATATCTTCTGGACACTTGGGTGAAGAGAGGAACTGAGCTGTCAACTTATCACCACCTAGTGGCGAGTTGGACAAATCTGGCGTGCCTAAACATTTAGGCTCCTCTGCTTGTGTGACCATATTCCAAGGTAAGCAGAAGAAAATGGATGCTTGAATATTTATTCTTATTTAAAGCTGTACTTAAATTCTGGCTCCTGGAACACAGAAATATTCTAACTTCTAGAAAATAAACTATTTTAAATCTTACTATGTAAACATTCGATTTACCATGTAAACATTAGCAATCTGATAGCACCTGAAATACACCGTAGGTCTTTAAAGATTACACAAAAGTATTGTGCAAAACTACTTTATTTACAAAACAAAATGGCACAATGTGACAGCAGGGCAGCCATGTACATGCACAACTTGGACAGATGTCCTAGCTTTGATTTATCACACCACAAGTAAATTGCATCTGGCCAGTAAAAACTTCTGGAAAAGCACTATGCAGGGCTAAAGATAAAACTACTTTAAGTCATGATTACACAAGATTATTTCCCCAAAACTTACACTATTTGTTCCTTGTTTTTGTCCACCAATGTATACAGCATAAAGACTGGTCCCTCTGAAGGATTTTACCCTTCAGGTCCTGTATCCCCTCTAACCCTTTAAAACCTGATTCATTCATGATGACTCCATCCTTAGGAGAGGACTGTGTCAGCATATAAAATGGAGCAGCACACAGTGTAAACTTAAAAACACTGCATTTTGCTCTTTTAAGAAGAGGATCTATTTCTGACACTTCTTGAAGGAACTACCTGCTACCAGCATTTGAGCCGCACCCAAGCTTTTTAGCATCTCTTTTAAACATCTGCTCAGTGCACCTTGATGAATAAAAATGCAGTATGTGAAGCTTCACCTTCGGGAGCCCAGCATCACACATGCAGTTCAAAGTGACACCCCAGCCTTTACTGCAAGGTCCTTTAATGCAGACACAATCATAGTGTTAATAAAACCGAACTTGGCCTCTGAATTACTATATTCAATCATTCAAGCATATTGACAGCATAATTTAGAGTAAGGTCATACAGTGAATAATACAAATCTGATGTAAAACATTCTGCCCCTGTGCCAGACAAATATATATCAGATACATACACACACACACACACACACAATCATAATCTCCAGACTGAACACCACACTAAATCCCCCCCGCGCCCAAACCTCACAAGATGCAAGCTTCTGCTGCTCGCCCCTCACTTCAGCTCGTAAACAGTCATATCTGCTGTCCATCCATTGTTCAGAGGCATCACAGACCGTTTCTTCAGTGTACATGGACAAACATGGAGGTAAAGACAAGACATGAAGGAAATGTAGGAGGACAATAACAGAGGAAAGGATGTGGTGGCAGTAGAGAAAAAGCCAAAGGGTGGGTTGAAACAAAAAA